ACCAGAGATGTGTGGGCTCATGCCTTCCTGCTAAGTTCAGTCTATACGTAAAAACTTCGCCTATTTCCTGCATATGTGGTGACTCTCTTCCTATACTTCTTAGTCTAATTTTGATTTTCCGAGCAGACCTTGCATCAGATTGAATCTATGATCCTAAATGTGTACTTCCATCTGTTTCGCCGATTTAACATCTGCCACATTCACGTGGAATATTGTGTCTCAGGGAGTGTGTGTTTAGTTTCGAAATGATAACGCCAGTAGCGCTCCTACGGTATAAATTGTAAACAAACGGCATGCTCTACATTGCTTAAGAATTTCCTCCGGTAATTGAAGGAGTTTCCTCATTAATTCTGTGACTATCTAGAGAAAGAAAGTGTGTAACGGGGAAAACACAACTGAAAGATGATTTTGTAGGGTTTAACCAACAATGCAACCACAAAATAAGGAACAGAAATACAATTCTTGCCTTCGTGCGTAAGTCCGTCAACTTCGGTAGTTGCCTTAGAAGAAATTTAACCGCAACAAATTTTGAAAGAATAACAAACTTATCTTATGCATAGGTATGCACGAAGTGTGTTTACATCTACCAATTTCGATTTAAAATGTTGATTACATTAACATTCAGTGGTTTGTAATAGCGGGCTTGATGAAGTGCTAGCACGGTCGGCCATTCCTTATCCCTGAACTGGTGATAAGAAAATGTACATTTTATCACGTCATGATGAAACAGATAAACATAACGTTAGCTGAATCACCGTGAGAATAAGGAAACATCTGAGGTGACCCCGAGCGAGATGGCATGGCGACAAGCAGGTCCACGTTACCTTAGAGCACACGTGGCTAAAATGGTACTGTATTCATATCATCATAAAAAGCCGCTGGTAACGTTTCTAGCTTGTTTTCGGGAGTTGTCCGGTAGGAATCTCAGCCGGAACTTTGTCTATTATGACTGAAGATTCTATGGTTTTCTTCAGTCCCTCCAGGAAATTGCCGGGGTATTATCTTAAACTGGGCCACGACTGCTTTCCAGCGACACCCTCTCCAGTTCATTACTCACGAGTCACATTCGGCTCGCGGGCCTAAGTTTTGCCACGTCTGCTGTACAGTGCCGGATGACTGTGTGACAGTGAGTTAAAAAAATTATGTATATTATAATACCTGGCGTTGGTATTTTTTAACTTCATTCAGCAGTTTCGTCTTCAATTTTAGGCTGGGCTCTGGTTCCATGGACTCTGGCCAGAATACGTACTGTACACGACAATATATGCAAAGTCTCATGTATGTAGTTCGAGTGTCTCTATGTGACTCTCTCAGATGATTTCTCTCATGCTTTGTTTATACATCCTGACTTGTGTTGCTTCTGGTGACAGGAGTAAGGACTGGCTCTATCGATTGGGCCCAACAGAGTAGCAAATTTTACCTGAGGTCGGAGACAGAGTCCAGTCTCCGAAACGTCGTTTCGAATAAGAAACAAGGGTCATGGATAATGACCAGAGTATTGATAGCTCTAAGTACCAGCGTGCTTTTGAACTGCAATATTTCGAGCATATTCGTCTAATATCAAAATGCCAAGTAGTTAAGACAGAAGTGTTTCACTCTTTGTGCTGTTCAGCATGGTACTGCATATAATAATAATAATAATAATAATAATAATAATGTCACGATTAGGGTGATGTGCGTAATGAAATAAACGGGTTGTAGTTCGGATGTTTGGATTTATTAACACCTTTTTTACATCTCTCTTAATCACATTTACTACAGCGCTATTTATGATTTAGGCACACAACGGTCGGCCATTCCTTATCCCTGAACTGGTGATAAGAAAATGTACATTTTATCACGTCATGATGAAACAGATAAACATAACGTTAGCTGAATCACCGTGAGAATAAGGAAACATCTGAGGTGACCCCGAGCGAGATGGCATGGCGACAAGCAGGTCCACGTTACCTTAGAGCACACGTGGCTAAAATGGTACTGTATTCATATCATCATAAAAAGCCGCTGGTAACGTTTCTAGCTTGTTTTCGGGAGTTGTCCGGTAGGAATCTCAGCCGGAACTTTGTCTATTATGACTGAAGATTCTATGGTTTTCTTCAGTCCCTCCAGGAAATTGCCGGGGTATNAGTGTATAAGAATAATATATAAGAATTCAGTTCGTACCTCACAGGAAACTGATTCGAACCCACGATCCCGGCTTCCGAGCGAGCGAAGACAGTGCATGCCTTAGACCGCTCGGCTACCGTGACCGGCCAAACATACAGCATAGTTAGGTTAAACCGTCACCACAACAATTGTATACTCAATTTAATTTTTTATAATTAAAACTTTTATCCCTGCTACATGTTTGAGTCACACAGGACCATAGCAGGCAGTTAATATAGGAATATGTCTAGTCAGTGAATTACTAATATGGATCCATACCAGTGCAAAGTGTCATATTATATGGCAAGAGAATTTTGCTTGAAGTCAGTAATAAGTACTACAATTAAGTATATAAAATATAATATATATATATAGACGTATCTAGGCTAAATTAAAAGTCTATATAAGTATGTTGATTATATTACAAAATATTAAAATATTATTAAAAACTTACTAAGTCCTTAAGAGATTAAGAATATACTCATGTATATATATATATATGCCAAGTTAATTCTAAAGTTCAGGTGCTACAGCGTAGTATTAGGCATATTAAGTCTAATTGACGGATCCTTGTTGTTAAAGGGTCTTCGTAGTAAAACCAGGTCATGGCTTCTAGAGGTGAGTGTCAATGATATATACGTTGTTATGAATGTGTGATTTTTTTTCATTGGCTCTACAGCCCTCATTTTGGCCTAGGCCTACCTCCATGAAACCCTCCGCTTTTTCACTTCGATTTTACTAGATCTTAGACATACGGTAGGACTCCTTGGGCGGGTGATCAGTTCGTCGCAAAGCCTCTACCTATACACAAACACAGAAAAACGCACACAAACATCCATGTCCTGAGTGGGATTCGAACCCACGATCCCGGCTTCCGAGCGAGCGAAGACAGTGCATGCCTTAGATCGCTCGGCTACTGTGACCTGCGTATGATGTTTTGGGTACGCGTATTTCCCGATATGAATTTTGTTATTTTGTGATCATTAATATGACATGTGCATTTTCTAGTCTGGGCATGTGTATGTTAGATATGTACTACACTGTGCTTTGGTTCGATGGAGACTTCAATATCCATACACGCCTTCAAAGTACTGCCTTTATGCATAGGAAAAATACTGGAATTTAGTTTTCAGCATTTTTGAAAGAGAATACAACTGATGAATGAATCTGGAGTGAAAAATAATATGCATTCCCAGAGTTTATTCCACCTTTAACATTTCCGTACTGTTTTCTACTTGAAGAAAACCTCCCTGTTAATACTCGTATGTCCATATTTCGTTGCTAACATAAATTTGCTCTTTTAGCAGCCCTCTTAGTTACTACAGCATGATTAATTAGCAAAGAATTGGAAATGAAATGGTAGGAAGCAGCAGTGGTATAATTTGAGCTTATCGTCCCGGAATTTGCTTGCAGGGAATGAGCCAAACCACGAAAACCCTCAATCCACACAGCCGGTTTCCGGAAAGAGATTCGAACTCAGACTTCCAAAATGCGAAACGCTAATAAAGATATTGTAGCGTGTTTCGTGTGTCACGCTACAGATAGATTCACGTAGGCCTCAAATTAAGTAGAACCTTTATTGTTCTTCCCCTTACACAATCACAAGTACAATTACTGTTCACTGTAACCCCTCAACTGTTTTCTGCGGCGGATGTTCCACGACACTTTACTTCGAAGGCTGGATAACGGCTGGCTTCTTAGCTGGCTCTATGAAGACTGAAGGCTTCTCGTCGAAGCTGGGCTATTTGTAACCTTGCCCGCTGTTAGGCAACGAACCCTTTGTTATAACAGTGGAAACGTCGCTTTGTTGGCTCCGCGTTTCCTACGCAATGACCCATTGTTATTGCGTTGTCTCTGTGGGAACGCTAGCGTATTTGTCGTAACCGTGGAGATTCGATATTCTCGATACAACGGCTCACTGTTGGAATTACAGTGCCGCTATTGTTACTTCCTATGTAGCGGTCCATTCTTCCTCTGGTTTTCCGACACGTTACAATATTACGTCTTTGGACATTATCCACCGTCCTGTCTTTATTTAAAAGCCGTCCTGTTTATTTTTCAAAACACAGCGCTTCGGAGACTGGATTCTGTCTCCGTCTCCAGGTAGAATGTACTCAGTTGGCCCCAATCGATAGATCAATAGATCGATTGGGTAGAACTGAGTAGGTTTTACCTGAAGACGTAGACAGAATCCAGTATCCGATATGCTGTGTGTTGAAAAATAAACAGGACGGTCTTTAGATAAAAACAATATGTTGCATAATGTTCAAAAACATAATATTTGAACTAATGTACCAACGTTACAGACTTTTAGATCTTGTTTACAAAACACTAATACTGGCTGCTCGATTGTGACATTCCATAGTAACATAAATAACTCTCTTCTGTAAGAACGCATTTTCAAGGTAATGTGTAATTTCTCTTGCTGAAGTCAAGGATTATTAGACTGAATTGCTGACAGATGATGGTATAGTAGCTTCCGTGAACTTAAACTCCACATAAATTGAGCGTAGTACAGAAAAAATTAATTTAATTATCACCATGCTTTATATTTGTTGCCGAGATTTTTTTTCTAGTGGCGCTACAGCCCCAATTTGGGCCTAGGCCTACCTCCATGAAAATCTCGTTTCATTTCGGTTTACTAGATCTTAAACATTCGGTAGGAATCCTTGGGCGGGTGATCAGCTCGTCGCAAGGCCTCTACCTGTACACAAATACAGAAAAACGCACATACACAAACATTAAACATCCATGCCCTGAGTATGATTCGAACCCACGATCCCGGCTTCCGAGCGAGCGAAGACAGTGCATGCCTTAGACCGCTCGGCTACCGTGACCGACGTTGCGGAGATTACCTTTGTAGTATTCTTGCATCGCAGGCACTGCATCCGCTTGACAAATTGTAGACGCATTTACCACGTCGTTCACTGTTGAACCGTTTGTTCCCAATAACGTTCGCAGTAATGGGGCCTTTCCCAGCGTCCCCACGTGCTTAGCTGCAACCACCACAACATTGTTTGATCCTTCAGAGTAAGTTCCTGCATCCATATTAATAAGATCTCCCAGCAATAACACATAAACTTGCCGCAATCACAAAACCTGACCTGAATTCTATAATGTAACACAAAATCAGGAGCTTTAAACACACAGGAAGTAGTAATCTCGATTCTTCTGTCAGAGGCGAAAGAGAAAACAGGCCACTTGCTGATAACTGTGATTTCAAAACAGGTTCTTCTTTTCTTTCTTTACATAAAATAACAAAATTTGAGATGCCTTAAAATTATGAAATTTAACTAGAGAGTCCAATTTCTATATTAGGCACTGAAACGAATTCCAGATGCATTGTCTATGAACTTGAACTTAAGTAGGCCGTTGAGTTACAAGTGGGCCCATACAATTGTACGAAACCTACAACCATGCCTGCACACACTAAGCCGCGCGACTGCTTGTGACAAGCCTCTACACTCGGCCGAGCTGCTCGACTGTCTGTGAACGAGCAGCCATAGCATAAAACACTTTCAAAAAATAAATTTCACTTTCAGCATTGGTAGAGGGAGAGAAATCAGGTAGATATCTTGCGGACAGACTGAAGCATGCAGTGCTTGTCTGAAAGGTACATAATATCAATACTTTGCTCCCTTCTTAATTCCTCTTCGTACATGTCATTAACGTCATGAAGTGTTAGCGTCTAGTCTTTTGTCCATATTTGATATATAAGGCTTTCTTTCCTATCTCCTTTCTTCCGTTAATTTCTTCTCTCTTTTCTAATAGGACTACTTTTCTTTACCTTTATATCTCTCGCTAAATTTTTCTCTATTTCTGAACTTCTTTTATCTTTCTTTCTCTCCTCTGTCTATCTCCTTTCTTTAAATTTCTCTCTCCTCCTTATCTTTATCTTCTATTAATATTTTCTTTCTGCTCATTTCCCCTTCTTCATTCTTATTCTACTTCTTCCGGATTCTTCTATCGTGATTTGCCTTTGACTCAGAGAAATGTCCTTCCAACTTCTCTCCGTTGTCTTCCTCTGCATTTCATTATTCGCAAAGTTTTCATTAATATTGTCACGTGTGGGGGAGTACGGGTGACGAAAATAACGGGTTCTAGATCAGATGATTTGGTTTATTAGCACTTCGGTTACATATTTTCTTAATCATACTCAATTATAATGCTATCGCTATTCTACATACATTCAGGTCACCGATGCACAAGAACTAGGATTCTCCGTCTTCACTAGTCGTCTCCTGGCAACGGATCCCAACACAGAAACTAGCACTTCAACTCACTATGAAATCTTCTTGTTATTTCGTCTTCGATCATTTTGTACTCTTCAATCCTGATCTGTACATGTTCCATTCTCGTCCTTGTATTTTCAGCTGCTGGACTAATCCAAGCTACAACAGATCCTCTTTATATATGATCCGCACGGACCGGACAGACAACACTAGTCACGTGATTGTTATCCAGCGAGTTCATTGGCGCGCTGACTGCTGCCTAGAAACGAACTATAATATTCGTCCACTGAGACACAATTTCCATTATTGCTCATTGGAACGTGTTTACTGAGTCTTTGCCTAACAGTGCTTTAAGAAAATCCCTTACAGTATGTTCTTTGCCCCATTTTCTTCCTTTCTACTTTCAGATGCTTGTTCCATAAATGTCTGAAAGAAAATCTTAATGAGCTTGAAAGGAACGGTAGGAACAAACATATTAGAACCTTCTATAGAACTAAAAATTAAACGAAGGAAGGTCACTAACCTAGAACTAACCCCATAAAGGACGACAGTGATGATCTACTTTCGGATTCCTTCGATAACTTACATAGCTAGAAAATTTACACCAGCCAGCTGTTGAATGTACAGGAAGTTATTATGTGAGGCAGACTGAAACACGTCTGAACCATTAATACTTGAGCCTACTTCTGAGAGTGAGACTGCAGCTTAAAAGTTGAAACGATGGAATCGTCAAATACTGATAAAATTCCGGCAGAACTGATCAGGCAACAGGTAAAATACTCCTCTGAGATCCACGGAGTGCTTTATGTAATTTAAAATAAAGAATAGCTTTGGAAATAACAAGATTGTAAAAGTAAAAAGTGCAATTTTATCATTTTCTGCGTTTCAGTCCGTGCTCTTCGTGTTACTTGTAAGAAATGAATGGGCTGCTAATGTGGGAATGGGAGTTGCCTCATATCAAGTAAGTTGAGCAATTAATAATACGACAAACATCTCTTATATTAATTAAATATAATTTGCCTGTAATTCCTCAGAGTCGTTGATATTGTGACATGACACCTGAAAGCCGGAATAGTTCATTGCTAGACAACGGCTCGCTAGGCATGCTTCCGCGGCAACGGATAGGCTTGTGGAAACCAAAATGTTGCTACGAAATTAACACGTTTCTATTAAGATGTGGATTCATGAAAAGCGACTAGGCACGAAACACATTTTCCGTGTCAACGGACAAGCAGTAAAGGTTCTCCTAGGATACGGGACACTATACAATCCGCCGTTCAGCTAAGAACGGTTCACGTGAAACCCGTGTGGAGGCGGAGTCGAATACCTCCACTGTGACCCTTCGAGACGTAGGAGGCGACGAAACGGAAAGTCTCAAATCTGAGTCAGTAAAATATGGTCCCGAGTCCCAAGGGACTGCGCTGGCAAGGACCAGCAGCATATCTAAAAGACAAGCCCGTCCTCTCATTAGAGATGGCGCCCCACAAAAAAAAAAAAAAAAAAGTAATTGTCAAACAGTAGCAAATATTCGGTCATGAGCCCCAGTTGGGGCTGGACACCAAGACTTACTGACTGACTGACCGTCGGTCGCAATGTGACTTCGACTTTGACTTGAGAATTGATTCATTGTTCGTTCATCATTCGTCCTTAGTGTTTCATAAGTCATTCGTAGAAGAAGCCACCGATTCGTAAATCAGAACCAAGTCAGTCACAGAGGTAGGGAAGACACTCGTAGTTCAGTAAGGAATGGAGCGAGTCTTAAGACAGTCATTGATTGTGAGCTGTCATCGTTGATGTAATTGAGAGTGATTGTAATATTAGTGTTAATAAATCCAATGATGCAATCAAGAACCCGTTATTATTAATCACAGAACCCCGGCCACGTGACAGTACTTAGCGAGCCTGGCGAGAAGTTGAAACTAAGCATGTATAATGAATGAATAAACAATAAATGTTAAAGCTTCATAATCACTGTCATTGTGCACAGTACAGGAAAATTAAATTACAGGGTGTAAATAAATTTATGTTACAACGCTCTGTGAGAGATAGATGGGTTCAGTCTGATTATATTTTGTTAATACACCCATGTCCGGAAACGCTTTGTTTACGCGCTAGAGCATCTGAAATGTGAAGGAGGACGCCCTTACCTCTTACCTAACATTTCTCCAAGAGACTTTAACTGAGCTGCTGGAAGTGGTGCTTGTGGAAGTTCGTGGTGAAATGTGGGTCCAGCATGATGGCGCCCCGGCACACCGAACTAATATCGTGCGCGAGTATTTGGGTGCAACTTTTGGCAACAGATTGATTGGATATGGAGGCCTAATAACCTGGCTCCCTCGCTCCTCTAACTTGACTCCATTGGATTTCTTTCTCTGGGGGCACATTCTAAGCCTGGTGTACGAGACTCCAGTGGAGACACGACATGATCTTGTGAAAAGAATTGCAGTAGCAGCTGGGACCATCCGGGAAATGCCGGGAATCTTCCAAAGAGTTCAGCATGACATGGCCAGGCGGTGCAGAACATGCAATGAAGTCGGCGACAGCCATTTTGAGCAACTTTTATAATGTAAAACCAGAATAGCATCCTGTAAAACTTATGCACCCTCTCGGAAAATTTGTGGCTCTTAGTGCCAAGAGGAACTGTTTCCGGACATGGATGCATTAACAAAATATAATCATATTGAATCCATCTATCCGCCACAGAGCGTTGTAACATATACTTATATACACCATGTATGTAATCTGTATAAAACACAATTTAAGATCTATCGCAATAAAACACCACACTAAAATATTGAAACGAACCTGTTTTCAACAGAGTCCGTACTCACTCGGAAGTCTGTTCTGTTTCCTTCCCTCTTAATTTTCATTATTTGCTGAAACAACTAAAGAATTTATTCTCATGTACGTTGACCTGTTATGACCGACAACAAAAGACGTTAGCAGGGCAGTAAATTATGTAGTAATTAAATATTATACTTATGTGAATCTAGACATATAAATTTAGATAGAAATCAGCTTCATTTTTTTCTATTAAGAATGAGAGACTTGGATAATCTTTCGGTATGTTCGAAAAGCCATTGGTGACTGTTTAACATACAAGTTACAAATTGTATACATAATGTTTCCCTCGGTTCAATAACCTTGAAATCCATAAGACTTTCAAAATATTGTATTGGATATAAAATGAATGTTTCATTTTCCTCTGCGACTTTTGTTTATAATATCTTCCGTTCCGCTGAATATTTAGTGACTTAACTTCGATATACTTGCAGAAACATATATATGTATCACCATGCAGTGTCCGTAATTTTTGTCCAATTTAAGACTTTGCACATTCCAAACCTCAGCGCTGCAATAAATATTACTCGTAAGGTGATTGATAAGGCAATCATTCATGCAAGCTCAATTATTTTGGATGACTAGAAATGTACCCAGCTTTACTATGTATCCAGTGGCGTGAGGAGAGAGCTCAAAAAGTCTCAGCGACGGTAGTGAAAATACTCTCCCTTCGTTGGGATTCGAATAGCAGTCTTCCAGTCCACAGCGAGTCACTTCACTGACTCCTCTGTCCCTATTTCTTTAAGTCTTTGTTATTAGAAAGTACATGACGTATTTAATGTACAGAGCCAACTGCAAAGAAGAAAACTAAAGACGTTCCGAGCAACCATAAAATAAAACCCTCTGACGTACGACCTGCTCATCGTGATATTATAACAAGCAGAACAATAGTAATAGAAGGCAAATGGATATCCACGCCTGAGATCAGTCTCCTATCAGCTGACCCTCAGCTAACCACTTTACCGACTGAGCTATTCTGACTTTGTAATGAAAGACGTACATTCAGAATACAAGTATAATATGCGATCCTGCTGAGTCATTCTGTTCAATATGAACATAATATGAGCAGAAATTCAACTAACGAGGAGTCTAATGAGGAAAGAAAGGTACGTGGCCTCACCACGGAAGCAATTTTACATAGACCGGCTGATAGTTCTACATAAAACCTGAAGTCCGAGACGAATTGCTGTGACATAAACGAAATACTTTCACTATCTCACAATCAGTAGAAAGTATGGCCACAAAAACCTGCTTCAGTAATCTTATTTCTTTTAACATGCTATTTCATTGTAATCCGGGTTCAAGTCCCGATGAGGTCATTGGATTTTTCAATTGACCTAATTATTCCGGCCGCACTATGGCCCTGGGGTCGACTCTAACAGAAATGAGTACCAGGAATTAATTAAATAATTTTCCTGGGGAGTGAAGCGCGGCCGGCGCGTAAGGCTGACAACCTTACTGCCATCTTTGAGCCGATTGTCTAGATAATGTGGGACCCCCAACGTCTCACAACCCTATGGGCCCTCATGGCTTGGTACAAGGATAGCTTTACTTACTTTTCATTGTAATCACTAATATTTTACGAAAAAATACAGCGTGATGAGGGATAAAACACATCATCTACAATTACACAACTAATACACGTCGTCGTCTATTTTTTGTATGTCTCTTAGCTGGTCTCTTGCTGTCTGCGGACATCTTAAAGTCTGATAGTCATTTCATGATATTTAAACATTAATTTTCTATCACACAGAAATAGCTTCGCCTCTTTACAAAGATCAGTCAATTTATTGAATCCAGGGAAATAATCGCCGTTTATTTTGAGAATCACATCAAATCCATAGATAAACTGTAATGGCAAAGCGCGAAGTTTTCTTTTTTAACGTTAAAGAGGTGATGAAGGGGTGGAAACTGCATAGGCAAAGGAGAAACATGCGTAACTACTGCATCTATGTGTGGAGGTAGAAATTACACACATATCTCGACCCACCAGAGAGCCTAAACAAACAAATTTGAACTCCCGCAATTATATGCGGTTATGGTGGTTCATTATATGCAAATTGATTCGCAGTATGAATTTTGATTTGATGTGATTGCAGTTCGAAAACAAGAAACACACAATAGAGTAAGAACCTCTGCAGTACAAGAGGCCATGGTTGCAAATTATTTGTAGCTATTCGTGTGAACTAATGATACTTTGGGAGGGAGCAGTACACAAAGGCATACTTTCTTACCGACCGGGCAAAGGCTGATGATATGATAGCATACCCTCTTACCGACCGTGCTCTCGGTACTGGTGACAGCCATTTTGTATCAATAGAGTTAGCTCCGGACACTGTGGCAGCAGTGATGCTTTCATGACGTCACCACGGCTATGTTGTCTGCAATAGCATCGAGTTTTCAAGGGCTGCTCTAAACGCCTCTGAACACGAACGAACGAAGTTTAGCTCGTACTGATCCGTGGCTTGTGCTTGTACCCTCTGCCAGTAAAATCACAGATGTAATCAGCGGTGATAGTTATGCAGCTTCGTGGTAGTGCCGAATATTTGCGGAACTGACCGATAATCGCCGAAGGTGGAAGAGTGCGCGAGTGAAGGAGCGGTCAGGAGAGTAAAGTCAGCTGACTGAACCCATGTTATTTAATTGAAGATGTCGGGAAAAGACAGGCTACCAGTATTTCCTTCCAGAGGGTATTTAACTGTCGTTTTTGTGTTGTTGCTATTTAATTGTAAAGAATTACAATGCCTTGCGAACCTTTGTAATGATGGGCAGCGCTACATTATGTATATACAGCGGAAACGAACATGCCTGTGTTCTTCTGTATTACTTAGATTAGGTCTTGTGGATGCTGTGCAATTAATTATTAATGAAAACTGCATTCCGTTATAGAGCATCTGTATGACAATTTTTATTCTGTTAGGGCCCAGACGCTAATGAAGGCAAGGCTTAAAGGGGCCCAGAAAGGTCACAGCCTGCTCAAGAGGAAAGCAGATGCGTTGCAAATGAGGTTTAGACTGATTCTGGGAAAAATCATTGAGGTGAGGCAGATACATTGCTGCATATACCAAGTTCTAGCCTCTGGGTTATAACGCCATGTAATTTGGTGAAAGTGAAGATATGTCTTCCAGGAACATATCATCTGCACCTTCACTGTCAGATAGTTAAGCCAAGCAAGAAACTAGCATTTATCAGGTAGCAACCTGAACCCTTTTTGCTACCTGCTTCATGGAGGGACACATTTCTTTGAAATGCTGGTTGACTTTCAACAGATTACGTGGTGTTGTATCCTAGAAGATAGAACTGTTTACCATTTATATTAGTTAGAATACGTTATAGTAGGGGTAGTAAGTCCAAATAAATCCTGAAATTCAGTGACTGGTTAAGGGGACTGACTAAATTAGAAGAATTCCTTCTTTGTTAGATGTAGTGATTAAGTAACATTAAATTCGGGAATATGTTTATATGGCCACAGTATTGTAAAGTTTTTCCTCTCCTTTTTCCTGCATCAAACATTGTAGTGAAGTGGTTAGCACAACTATATTACATTCAGAACGTTTCAGGTTCAAGTCTTAGCCAGAGGTAAGATGTTTTTAGATTTTCACAGAATTCCTTAGTCCCTCCAACAAATTCTAGGATAATGCCTTAAATCAGGCCTTGCTAACTTCCCTTTACGTTTTATTATCCAGCAGTCAACCTTTCATTTAGTGCTATATTTAAGCAGTTTAAAGCATCAGTAAATGAAGAATAAATACAATGAACAAGAATGACTAGGAAGTTCACTACCTTCTGGGATGTGATGTTATGTAGTTGGTAAATAGGCATCACAGTTCTGGAGGAGTGTGCCGCCTCCATCTTCAGGGTGGAAGACAGAAGCATCACATTCCCCTGAAAAGTTGGTTAATATGTACCAAACTACATAATGGCACATCCCAGAAGACAGTAACAATCATACTGCTGCTATTATAAATATTATCATCATTCTTATCACCATCATCACAGTATCATTCAAAATTATCATTGTCATTGCTGGTACTTTTGCACCATATTCTGTCCATATCCTGTCCATGAGCCAGGGTCGAACCTTGTCTCTAAGGCTTATTACTTACTAAATTCTTGAAAAATGCATTTGAAATGAATTAAGTGCCATGTTACTATTTTCCTCAGGATGTATGCTGTTCCCAGAATGGTCGTCTTCTGCGATTCTGCATGAATGTTTTCTAAATACAGTAAGACCACTATTTCAGACTAATTGGGAGGGAACACTTGTCCAAATTACAAAAGTGCTATTGAAAATATGTTCAGGGAAGTTTTAAAATGGACCTCACATGTTCTTCTAAACAGTAGAACTTTATTTTCAAACTTATATTGCATATTGCAACAGAGTGTCATAAAATGTAAAAATGTAAGTTTTGACGTCAGTCTTAACAACTTTTTAGATAGCCTACATTGTTAGTATTATTGAGACCATGTTTAAAAGTGAACTTACATTGATTTGTTTTTGTGTTTTGTACTTTTCTTTTACTACATCTAACATCTTGCCATGTTTCACTCAGCATTGATGACAATGGAGTCCAAGTTTCGTTTTGCACAAAAAAACAAAAAACATTCAAATTATCACAAATTCTGAATTAGTGAGATTTCACTGTATTTTGGGAATGAGCTTGATAGGAATCCAGCCATTTCTATAATTGTTGGTGTCAGCTTCATGTTCACAGTCCACATTCACTGTACTGAAATCAGTAGATTTTTCTCTTTTCATTATTTTTTCAGCCTCTTTCTTGAGTACATTTGGTATTGGATATGTCAATCACCAAACATGTTTCTTTTCTATTTCAGAGTATTATGTCAGATCTGTTGCAGTGTGGTGCAGTTTGTTATAATTTGATGTTCAGAGTATAGTGACTCATTTGTTCTGACTTGTTCTGATTGGTTTTCTTATATGCTTGTACTGTTTGTTCCTTTGCACATTCACCCCTACTTGTTCCAGATCATCATCATCATCATCATCATCATCATCAGTAATCTGTCAAGACGACAGGTCCACAGTCTCTTTCAAAACAATTCCTCCACTTAATGCGATCTAGAGCTTTCTCCTTCAAATTACAGTATCCTCTTCTGTCCCCAAGGTCATCCAGCATCTTCTTACGTCTTCTTCCTCGTCTTCTTGTCACTTCTATCCGCCCATCTATCTTTCCTTCGATAGCTTCTTTTAGAAGGCAGTTTCTGCGTAAAACATGACCAATCCAATTAGCCTTCCGTTTTCTTATTTCATGTAGGATATTCCTCTGCTCACTGACTCTAATTAACACTTCTTCATTTCTCACATAATCGGTCCAACTGATCTTCTCCATTCTTCTCCAACACCACATTTCGAAACTTTCCAGATGTTTCTGATCTACTGCCCTAAGTGTCCATGTTTCAGCCCCATACAGAGCTATGCTCCAAATGTAGCATTTCACTAGTTTCTTCCTCAAATTTAAGTCCAATTTGCTGGTAAAAAGATTTTTCTTCTTGCTAAATGCAGCTTTTGCCATGGCAATCCTGGATTTAATTTCACAAGTACACCTTCCATCATCTGTTAACAAGCTACCCAAATATTTAAAACATTTCACATTCTCCACTTGTTTTTGGTCTATCTTTATTGTGACTGGGGTTGGTTGTCTCGAAATTTTCCATACTTTTGTTTTCTCCACATTCATTTCCATGCCATAGCACTTTCAATTAGTCTATCAATCATGCCCTGTAGCACAGTTTCTTCCTTAGCCATTAACACAAGGTCATCTGCATATTTCACAGTTTGAATAATTTGCCCTCCTACTTTGAAGTCATGTTCCAGATATTGAAATGTAATTTTGTGGAGACCCTATTCTGTTATTTAACATACTCTTCCCTAGTAAGACCTGGACATCCTGCTATCAATTATTCTAGTGTCTCATCAGATTGTTGGCAGATCCTACATATACTGTCATCTGTAAAGTACCCAGACATGTGCTCCTAGACACTTCTGAGCTCCTAATCCTTCCTATGCAACAAGTGAAAGGCAAAGTTTCTTCCATTTAACGTACAGATTAATAGGAACCTATATTCTGTTAAATGATACAGTAATTACTTATATGGGTTCTTAGGTAAAGATAAAAGGTAAAGTCCCTGTCCTTAACTAATTAAGCGCTATGCCATGAAGATGTATGGGTGTGTGGATGTATAGATCCACACATTCTTGACCTCAGCACTAGCTGGAGGTGAGTAGTCATTTTCATACCCTTGGAAAGAGTTTGTGACACCCATTCTGTAGGAGGATTGGTGTGCCCCAGAAGCAGTCTGGTCAATGTAGAGAAGAGGAAAATCTTGCGCGGACTGGGACTCGAACCCTGACCCCTCAGCCATCCATCTCATAGCCATTCGCTGTACCGACTGTGCTATCCTGGCTCCACATCACGTAGGTTCTTACTGCTATACAAACACTCCATTTATAAATTATATGAACAGCAAGCCAGGGCTCAAACCTTGGCCACTAAATGGAGCTTGGACTGAATGACTGGAGTAGTTCAGTGCTCAGTCTTCTGCATTATTACCTTAGCATCAGAGTGCTCCTTGGATTCTTCTTCTCTAAGCCAAAGTAATGTGTCTTTACCTTGATGAGAAGGCCACTCAGGCCTTAAATGTATTGTATATTACTGCTGCTGGTGCTTCTGCTGCTGCTACTACTACTACTACTACTACTACTACTACTGCTACTGCTACTACTACCACCATCACTACCACTGCTACTGCTACTGCTACTGCTTCCCAATTATGAATGTTCTTGATTGATGAGTGCAACATGTACCTATTGTCTTGCAATAAATTTGTGGAAGTGGTTATGTGTGATTTTCATTGTGATGGGATAGTGTTATTTAAAAATTTTACTGTCAAGAGTACATTATTAAAACATAGCTAGAGGGGAGGACTATTCTCTTGAAGTCAGAAACAAGTCAACAGCCTATACCCTTGAAGAAGGTGGAGGAGGAGGAGAAAGAGGAGTATGGTGTACATTATCAGTGGTGTTTGAAGTTCAGATGAGGAGGCTGGAGGAAACTGCATACTGAAGTGCTTCATAAGGTGTGATCCTCACCAATTTAACTTAGACTGATCAAGTCAAGGAGGATGAGATGGACAGGGCTTGTACTTGTAGTATGCATTGGACAGAAGAGGAATGCACACAGGGTTTTGGTGGGAGAGTCAGAAGGAAAGATAACACTAGGACGATCTGGTGTAGATGGGAGGATAATATTAAAATGGATCTTAGAGAAATAGGATGAGGTGTGTGAACTGGATTGATCTGGCTCAGTATAGGAACCGATGGAAAGCTCATGTAAACACAGTAATGAACCCTTTGGTTCCATAAAGTGTTGGGAAATTCCCTGAGTAGCTGACTGGCTTGTCAGGAAGGTCTCAACTCCATGGAATTAGTTATTTTAGTTACAGAAGTTCATTGGCACTAGTTGTTTGTGAGCTGATACCAAATGTATTAAACCACTGAATCCGTTTTCTTTCAGACAAAGACACTTATGGGAGAAGTAATGAAAGAAGCTGCTTTCTCATTGGCTGAAGCAAAATTTGCAACTGGTGATTTTAATCAGGTTGTCATACAGAATGTTACAAAGGCACAGATAAAGATTCGAACGAAGAAAGATAATGTTGCAGGTATGTATGGATTTCATACAGTTTTTTAACAGAGATTTTGATGAAGTGGCCAACAGATGGACTGGCTTGGTTCCTGCAGTCATAGTGAATGAATTTTTTTCCTTCTTGTTCATTTTTCACTATTTTGTAGAAATTTCTTCTGTACTGTTTGCAGACTGGTTACATCTTTCATAATTCACATCCAATTTTCTGCACAGAATAAATAAACAATACACTTTGTATAACGTAACATTTTCTGGAATTTCTGAGTTCCAGTTGATAATCTGACAAAATTTCTCAGCCCTGTGGATTCACTGTAATTTCCTCTTGGATTTTGCCATTTACTGATTCCTACAAACAAACAATATTCTTAATTTTCAACATTGTTCAGAATCATGCTTGTGAAAACTTCCATAGAATTTGCACAATGCAGAACTGAAGTTCTTGATATTTTTTATACCTGTTTCTTCCAGGACAAAAAGTTAAATATGACATGGAAAATAGTTTTTTTCTAAGTAACAGAATTCATGACATGTATGTGTAGAATGAATAGAATAAAATGTTAACCACCATGGAAACTAGGGAACCATCATCTTAGAAAGACGTGATCCATCAAAAGACTGAGGAAGAGATGGTATGAACAAATTTTGGATGTGGAATGGATTTAGAAAAGACCACTCCATGAATGCTGATGGTGATAATCCCATGGTCTCATATACATTTCTCACACCTCTGCACTCTTTTGTTTTTCTCAGGTGTTACTCTGCCAGTTTTTGAGAGCTATCAAGATGGAACAGATACATATGAATTGGCTGGTTTGGCCCGTGGTGGACAACAGTTGGCAAAATTGAAGAAAAATTATCAAAGTGCTGTTAAATTGTTAGTTGAACTGGCATCACTGCAGACATCATTTGTTACTCTAGATGAAGTTATAAAGATAACCAACAGGAGAGTAAACGCAATTGAGCATGGTAATACTTTTAATATTCTTTAAGATAATTTAAGTAATAACAGTTGCTGCTGTCACCACCACCATTACTACTACTACTGTTGCTGCAGCTGCCACTGCCGCCATAGTATTAGTACTTTTAATAGTGATAGTAATAGTAGCGGGGGCACGCAGTAGCATAATTGGTTGAGGCACAATGCTACAAGCCGGAAGGTTGTGGGTTCAAGTCCCTGTGAGGTCACTGGATTTTTTCAATTGACCTAATCCTTCTGGCCCCACCGTGACCCTGGGGGCAACTCAGCCTCTAACAAAATGAGTACCAGGAATTAATTAAATAATTTTCCTGGGGAGTAAAGTGCAGTTGGTGCATAAGGCTGACAACCTTACCGCCATCTTTGAGCCGATTGTCTAGATAATGTGCAACCCTCAACGTCTCATAACCCTATGGGCCTTCACAGCCTATTACAAGGATAGCTTTCCTTCTTTTTTTAGTAGTAGTAGCAGTAGTAGTGACAGTAGTAGTAATTTTATTGGTGTATAGTGCATGCTGTATGAATCACATTCCAAAATAATTTTTGGAATTCAGTATGAAGGTGAGTTTTCAAGACAGTGCAGCTGTGTATCAAACTTATGTGTTAGGTGTTGGCCCAGTTGTATCTCTCACAGCCCATGTTGCCTAAGTTCACAATTTCCGATACTGCATTTGACTTCTATGATAAGCAGTCATTCATTCAGGACAGTATTATGTGTGTTGAAATGCCATGAGTGATATACACATTGGAATAAGCGCTCAGGTACAATACCTATGTAAAAAGTGATGCAGCAAGAAAAGCAAGGAAATGATGCTAACATAAGCTATAGAGAAATTATTACTAGAACTGTAATAAATTGAAACATACAAGGCCATTACTGGTGTGGGGAATTCTGACATTGATTGCCTACTGAAGAGAAACTGGGTAAGTCAGTGCTAGGCATGAACATACATTTTTGAAATCCCTCAGACACCTTGCACAGTAGACAAAAGTTTCAGAATTGTCAGCATGAACTGACACAAAACTTAAACAATTTTAGACCGCAATAGGCCTAGTACATGAATTATGTTCCTGCCATTCCATTAACAGAGTTCATTTCTGTAATATGGACTGTTACCAGAGTTTTGTTGGTGATGGGGCTTGGTTTCACTTGAACAGCAGGTAAATTCACATAAAGACAGGTACTGGGGTTCATGTACTCAGTACTAATACATGAGGTTCCAGCACATGATTCTGAAAGCAGGGTATGTTGCATTGTAAGTTTAGATGCAGTAATTGGGCTAATTTTCTTGGGGACACAGTTATATCTGAAAGATGTGTGAAGCTTCTAATTTTCAAGCAGCTGGCAGATGAAGAATGATGGTATGCATTCTTTCAAGACCCCACTATTGCTCAAGAGCCTCAAGATTTCTGGGGAGAGTATTCAGGCAAGAATTGTTAGTACTGGTTACCCATATCATGTATTCATGGGGTGCCTTAAAGTAATACCTTTATAGGTCAAACCCTCATACAGTTGAAAAACTAAATTAAAATATCAAATGGGAAGTTTTCCGTAAAACTTCAGTGTGCAAATGTAAAGTATCACAGGTGTCAGGAATGCTTACAGAACAACAGAGAGCATTTCCAACATCTGCTGTGTTCTAGGTAAGTGTTATTTCTAGTGTGTTTAGGCTGCAGCTTTTAACAATTGAGAAAACATTCTGAATCTCAGAAGGCCTGATTTGATTGGCGGTGCATCCAAATGTACCACCTGAGAGATTGAATGTTTTCCAGAAAAATCACTGCATCATAGTCATCTGAATATTATTATTTTTTTAGTTCTATATCAATTGAGATAATGTAATGCAATATATATTGTTCACCTTTCAGGTCAGGGGTGTCAGTAAAATAACAGCCAATTAATTTAGGCTACTCTTGAAAGATTTAATCTATAACATACACCAGCAATGGACAAAATCAAGCATAATCAGATCGTCACATAGGAACGTGCTGAACTACAAAACAGTGACATAAGAGAAATACTGACCATACATTATGGTGTAAGGTTAGCACCCATGCCTGATATCTTGAATGACGTCAATTTAAATCTAAACAAAGGGATTGTCTAACTTGAAAATTATTTGTGGCTTTTCTCGCTTCTCCAGGAAAACACCAGGATAGTGTTTACACTTCGATTTCTCATTTGATGCACTAAAACTATGCAGTTGACACAGCACTGTTAAATAAATTGGGAAACACAAAGGATAAAATGTATATTTGGACAATGTTTAGAAGTGTTCATGTCATGACAGTTTTTTCCTTGTAATAGTTATAATTCCACGCATTGAGAAGACTCTGGCATATATCATCTCTGAGCTGGATGAGTTGGAGAGAGAAGAATTCTACAGGCTGAAGAAGATTCAGGACAAGAAACGGATTGCTCGTCAGAAGGCTGAACAGAAAGCTGAGAAACTAAAACAAATGGCACTTGAACAAGGTCTAGACATGCATGCACCAAATATGTTAGATGAAGGAGATGAGGACCTTCTTTTCTAGATACTGTGACATTGCTTGTAAGTATATCTCTAAGAGAAAAAATGTGGGGAACTAATTAACATGAATAAAAATCTGTAAAGTGTTGTAGAAGTGATATAAATATTATAAACTCACTCACAGAGGCAAAACTGTACACAGGAGGTGCCAAGGCATTTGGTATCATTTCCTGTTCTGTTGCTTTGAGGTCATTCTTGTACATAGCACTATGTAACTACTCATACCATATATGCCCCCCCACCCATTTTATTGCCACATGTCACAGTGACTAAGACATTGGTTTGGATTGGTAGTTGGGTTTATTGGATACATACAGGTTGTAACTGCAAATAATTAAAGCACTATTGCTCATTTACACAATTTACATTCACCCCACTTTAATCTTCTCAGTCTACCTGCACTAGTCCTCATGGGTTTATAACACAGGAACCCTAACAGTGTTACTGAATCATACACTCCAAATATTACACATAAGTAAAGTCTTCTAATCACATGTTAAGTCTTCACAGGTCAACTTCTAGTTCAACTATGAACTTCCCAGTCATATCTCCTTGCTTGCTTGTTCACGTACTTCTTTCACTATTATCCATAACTTGTAACTGCTTTACTTATATAGCCAAGGAATGGACATGCATCGCAGGAAAAACATGTCACATAATCACTCTCCAGCCAGTCCATTGCTGTGTTCGACAGATCTATAGAAGACACATCATGTGATCACTATCCACTATTGTGATGTCACCACAGACACAAAGAAACGCTGCTTCCTCATTGTTTGACTGTTTACCAAGAATCTGTCTTTATGGGAACTTGTTTACTAACACATTGCCTAGCAATGGGTGTACATGTACCAGTGAGTTTGTTGGAATATCAGGACCATCTCTGTCTAGCTGCAATTCCAATTGCAGTCTGGAATTTATTCCACAAGCCAGATTTTTTAAAAAAAAGACTATAGCTGAGATTAATCCAAGTCTGAAATTTGTTCTTTCTTATCTTTCTATGGCACCATACTCTATTTAGACCCAGAAGACCCATATTTGCTCTTGCCCATCCACGTGCCCATCCTGAGAAAAAGATCAACATGTCAACATGTTTTACCAATAATAACTACTGTAGTTAAAGATATTATGCTGGGCATAGATGATTGAAAATGTTTGTGTGTGTATGCTTGGCATATGAACCAAGTCCTTTGTTTGCTGTCATAAGAGACTAATGTAATTCTTGCTGAGCCAGAGTTATTTCTGTGTAGATAGTAGACACATTGAAGAAGAAGTTAAGAAATTCTGAAATTACAAGTATTAACCCTTGAGCAATATCTCCAGGTAAATTTACATGAATGGTCATGTTACACACTCAGTGCACCCCTTAGTTTCCTTTATAATCAAAATATTGATTTGAATGTGGTAAAGTCAATCAAATTTGATCAGTTTGTTCATAACTAGTATGTACTAATATAAATGTCTTACACCAAACAAAGTTGGAGTGTTTTCTCACTGTAGGCCCAGTGTTGACGTTAATTGTAATGCCTACACACAGCACGTGGACTACACTTCTTTGAAGTTGTTTATCTTTTCTTGGGGTTCTGCAGCTCAGTATTTGGAAAGGACGGCAGTCAGATGAGCATTCAGTAGTTTCAGGGTAACTTTTCAAAAATATTCTTTTGTTTATTTAGGGTAGCCTTTGTTTGCAAGCAAGAGAATTTTTGCATTAATAACTGCAGTAATTAACAAGGAAAGAGAAAGTACCAGTTGCAGTCCCCTTGTTACATGTGCTGTTTAATATCTGCAGCATATCTTTTCAACTCTGCTTTTGGTTTTAGTGTAGGCTGACAGTTTTTTTTTTATTCTTTGTATCTTGCTTACTGTATGGTTGTGTCCATAACAGTACCACAGACTATTGTAAACTTATTTCTGTTTTTAATATATGACCCAAAGGTAGTTTGCTGCTGGGATTTAGACACTGAAGATTTTACATCTGAATTGTTTTCCATTGCAGAAATTCTGGAAGGATCTTTCTCAATTTTCTTTATAGCTTATAGACATGTAATTTTATTTCTGAGGATATACTTAGCAAGTGGATAACTATTGTACCAACTGTCAGTATTGACATTTTTGTTCGAACCTTCAGTAGGCCTGTAGCTAATCAGGCACTGATGCCAGCTAGTGAACAGAACACTAGATACTTTTGCTTTTTGTGTATGCTGATACACTTCCATGGTACTTGTAACAGTTAATTTTCAGTTCATATGTAGAAGGTTTATTGAGTATTGTAGTGGCCTTGAAACAGTTGTAGTTTTCATAAATTGTGATGAACTTACTTCCATAGTAGAGGTTTTAGCGGCCTCCGTAGTCTAGAGGTAACGTTCCCACCTCATGACTCGTGGTACGCGGGTTCAAACCCGGCGGAGGTCGTGGAATTTTTAAGGGCGGAAAAATTCAGGGAACAAGTCTTCCGGGAGGGACTTTAAGCCGTGGGTCCCATGTCGTAGCTTTACAGCACGTAAAAGAACCTCATATCTCCAAAGGAGGTCACTGAGCTAAATTCAAGGACATTTCCCGCTCAACAGTAGTCTCTAACGCCTCTGATAGATGGGGGAAGCATTATAAATACCGCCAAGCCAGTGGAGGCCAAACTCGCTGGCTCAGTCGGGACTGATGGTACGCACCAATATCGGTAGGGTATAGAGACTGGTAGAATATCATAGAGGGAAGCACAATGGACCAATACTGGTCTCAGTGCATGGGGAAACCCACCCTCTCCAATAACTAACTAACTAACCAACTAACTAGTAGAGGTTTCTAGAACTTGCTGCAAATGAGTCTGTAAAGCTGTAGAAGGAACAAAGGCCTCTTGTAGCTTACAGTTCTGCCAGTATTATGAAGTTCAAGAATATTTTTGTGGCTTCCTTTCTTTTTCCATGAAAGATACGAAAATAATCCTGAGCAAAGGTGTTATCTCATTTCTTGTAGTTTATTTTGTATCTGGCTATCTGTGGAATGGAATGCTGAGCCCTTTACTATGAGCATACATGGTCATAATTCAAAGTCTCCTCCACTTTGGTCATATGAGTCATCATATAAGTATTTATTTCATCTGTTCATCTACTCCTCCTTCAGCTTCTTCTGGTCGAAGCAAAGTTTTAATATTATTCCTCTGTGAATTTGCTCCACATTCTGCTCAGATATGTATGTAGGATCAGTGTGTGTAATGATCTTATCTTGCTGAGACTTCTGACACATTCAGAGCATTTCTCACTCTTGTCACCAGTCAGTTCCTGTTGTAGTTGCTAAGTGTCTTCATCCATGTTAAAAGTAAAATTCTGAAATTTTGCCCTTTGTTAGTACTTGAAACCATGAGTACAGTATAAGATCTAACCTTGAGAGTTGTAAGGGATGCAGGAAGTTTGAACCATTGAAGGCTCAGTATCAGCATGGATCAGCAACTACTACATGAGCTGCTGTATTGTGTTCAGTTGTGCAGTACACAAGTATGCTGATGGTCAGTACTCTCTGAACTGATGCTTACACGGTAGGTCTGACCCTTCTCCCGTGACCATCCCTTCATCCCTCCCCCCACAAATGTCAAGATACCAGTAGATGAAAGAGCAAAAAGTAAAATTCTTACTTTATCAGGTATGCAGTTCATGGAGTGTGCCAACGGTGGCTGCCTTGTAACTTTTTAGAAATTTCTGCTTGCTGTAATGCAACGTCCATTAATTGACCACACAGTTTGAAAGCTAAGGGTCAGCTAAAGGAATGGCAGGAAGGATACTTGTGTTAAAGAAACAAAATGACATTTTCCCTGCAATGATGACTTTGGTGAACTCTGCACATCAGTGGGTCTTTACAAGGGTTATTCAAAGCATAGTGGCCTTTTTTAAAAGAAGAATGTGTAGGGTTTTCACATTGCTGCTTACATCATTATAAATTATAGAATTGTCATCAGTATTAAAAACTTTATCAGTTTGTCACACAGACACATAATTATTGTTGCTGACTGCAATGGCATATCTATAAGCTTCTTTTAAGATATTGGGATATGTCAGCATTCAAGTCGCATCCCTTGGAGAAGTTCAGACTTCAAGAAATATATGGTGATGGTAGAAGATAAGAGAATATAGTAGACTGTATATATATCATGGCATTTAACTGCTAATACATTTCACTAGAAAATAATTCCGAAGTTAGTTAGTTTCCAAATTAGTAGGAATGAGTTATATAATACCAGATTGTTAAACAGAGGTGTTACTGTTTAGGCAGCTTCAGTATATTTATGGTAATATCAAAGTTTATAATATTTGGTTCAGATGTCATTGAAGGAATGTCAAATAGGTTGACTGCTTTTGCATATTCTAGAGGAGTGGTTTCTGAATTATATTTTAATTGTATAAATTATTCTTTCATAAACTTAGTCATTGAAGTTTGTGTTCACCTGGCAGAAATCGTAACTGCGCTGGTTCATTAGCAAAGAAAATAACTTGGTAATGGGTATCATAGACATTAATAGTCATGTAGTTCAGTAGAAATTGGGAGATTCCAGCAGAAACATGTGGTAAACAGGATAGTTGGATGGGTATATACAGTTTTGCTGATTCACTTCGTTTTCCTGTATTCGAAAATTTGCTTTTCAAATTGACATATTAAAGTATTATAGCCAGAAGAGAATTGCATGTTCATGTAAATATGTTGTACATTTTGTATGATATAATAATGTAAACTTGGTCTGAAATATATATGTCAAAAATATATTCCAATACATGTTAATATCTCATGTTAATCTTACTCTGGTTCTAGTGTAGTTCACTGCATCATGTCATATCCAGTTATTGGTCATCAATAGTATATACATGTGCTGAACAAAATTAGTGCACTTTAATTAAATATGTCTAGCTGCAGTACAGAACACTGTATTTTATATGATTTTAATACATTTATAACCACAGACCATTCTCGTATATTTCAAGTGAGCGTCATAGGTTGAAATGTTTCTGGCTATCAGAGAACACAAGGTTCAATTATATGACTTACAATTTAAAAGAGAAACTAGCAAAATGCGCAAGTAATAAAATTCTACAGGATAATGGCACCTACAGTATTGTTGTCTGGGAGTGAAGCATGGGTAGTAAAGCATGAAGATGCAGTATGCATTCAGTCCACAGAAGGTAACTTTTTAAGGCGAACAGTCTGGGGATGTACAAGAATTGATTGGGTTTTTAATGATGAAATACAAAGAAAATTAGAAGTTTATTCAGTAGACGATAAATGAGTATCAAATCTGATAGTTAGAACATCTTCAAAAAGTGGATGATGTTAGAATACCAGAAAAGCCAGGGTAGCAGTTTTCTGTTTCTCTTTCTATCCAGTCTACAGTTGTAGAACAACATGATGTGTTTCGTCTGGTGTGTCGTGAGTCTAAATATACCACAGTATTTTGAATTTAGGTGCATTTCACAAAATGTAATAACAAAGAGATCATGTCATCAACCTGTTCTTCTGTTTCTTCATTAAATTATTCATTCCTCAGCATTTTTCATACATTTTTTTTGCATTTTTTACATATGCATATTTATGAATAATAATGATTAATGTTAATAATATAGTTACTCTGTACTTCCTAAGTACCTTGACAATAAAATTGTGACAAATAGCAAAGTATGTTATGAAAAAAAATTACTGTTTTACTTCCTAAGAGCTTTGGGAGTAAAATATTAAGAAAACAGAAGAGTGCAGGATTAAATTACAGAAAGAGGAAACAGTGTAGGGATATATTACCATAGATTTAGGGATTACTGGGTTTTTGGACTTTGTCCATCATTTGGTTTTCTAAAGAACACAACATTTCGGACACTGGCTGTGCTTCAGTTCTGGGGTGGGGGGTTGAACATCACCTGAGGATTGGAGCAGATCCAATTTCTGAAACATTGTGTTCTGTAGTGTTC